TATAGAAATAAAAACTATTTATATCAGATTTTAATAGCTTGGTCATCGCCAAAAAAAAATAGAAGAATGTCTTAGCCATGACCTCCTAACCCTTGATTTTACGATAGAAATCAAGCATGTAATATCTTAAAATTTTTGTTGTAATGTTTGACAAATTTTAATAATAATAATTTTTATAATTTGTTCTATCTAATATAAAATCAAAGCAAAATTAAATAACATTAATATTTTAAGAGCATGTGTAGGCATGTAGCTTTGTCTTGGTAAAAATAAGTATTATATCATATAACAATTATATCTTCAAGTTATTAAAACAATTGCACTATACATACACAAAATATTATATATAAAATTGAATGAAAATTCTATTTAATATCTCAAAGCTTTTATAATATGGGGCTGAAAATATATAATTTTTATATTTTATTAAAAAATAAAAAGTTAGAGGTCATGTGCCCCCTTTTTCCTTGTCTCCATCATTGCCTTTATAAATAATCTAATGTTTTAATTTTTTTGATTTTTAAAAAGTTTTTTTATCTCTTTTTTTTTCAACTTCAAACCTGCCTTGATTTTTGAAAAATTGTGTTGGGCTCCAGCCCAAATCCAGGTTCTGGCTTAATGGAGGCTGAATCATGAAAATGATTTTTTTAATCAAAATTAAGCCGTTAACAAATTGACAAATTCGGTGGAATGGCCTGATCAGGTTCTGAAGGCATTGTTAAAATGACTTGCCTCCCATTAAAAACAAATAATTAGTCATTGATATTTAAAGAATGAACGGTAAAATGGGAGAGAATCTGATTTCGCGACGGGACCTAATTTACATGCTTTTGTGACTCATGCGGAATATCAATGTGGAACGAGCCTAACCTGATACCGAATTACCGACAATCACGCGCTTTTACGGAGCCCCACAAATTGGCATCCAATTAGTTATTTGCCGCCCTTTTTTGATTCGTTCAAACGAACTTTCAACATTCAATTTTCCCACTCGGAGACGGCTTCTTCAGTTATCTTTTCCTCACTCTCTCGTCGACTCGGCCTTCGTTTTTCAATCACTCCTCTGCTTCTAGAACATTCATCCAACCAGCAGCTAACTTCTAGTTTATGGATCGCGTTTCGCCTCCTCGCTTCCTAGGTAAAATTTGATTTACTTTTCGCCGGCAGATTATCATTGATTGGTGATTTCGATAACATTGTTTGACTCTCTTGAATTGATCGTATTCCTGTACCTTTCCTGTTGCTTCGAATCCTGGCCTCTGATTTTCTCAATTCTCTGGTTTTACGCTATTATTAATCAGATTTATCATTAATCTGGGTTTCCGAGTGCAGAGGATCTGTTTTTGTAAAACTTACCCTTTTGAATTTGAAGTCGGCCTATTGATGGATAAAAGAAATCCCAAGCCTATCTGCTTATAACTGGCCTTTTGTATCTCAGAAAATAAAGTGATGGTTGTAATGTTGATTTCATTGAATAATGGTTAGTATTTCAGGAACGCTGTAGGCACCTGCGATTCTTCACCATTCACTGTGTCATTTCAAATTTCGTTGATGTTTGGTATATCCACAAGACCACAAAAATGTTTGTTAGTCTGTCCTGATACATCTAATTATTCAAGTTAAATGCAAAATGTAAAGAAGTTAAATTCAATTTATGAGTGTGTTGAACTGTTTTATTGATTACATTTCTTTTAGTGTTATGTTGAACATGTCTTTTTATGGTCATTTTATGACGCAATTGAGTCATCTTTTTTGGTAGTTGACTCTGAATTCTTATAAGACAAACTTTTAATTTGTCAGTCGCAATATTGATAGCTTTCCATGCAGAACAATTCCAGCACGTGTTGAAAATATTTGAAGTGGGAGAAGTATTAAATTAAGAAAAAAATTTAGAAAAAGAGAGAAACTAATTATATATTTTTTACCAAATGAAATAAACTTTTATTGTACGTGCACCCTCAACTTAGGGTCTGCTTCACCTACACATTCCATTATAGAGGCTTAGTTTGGATTGAGAAAAAATGGGAAGGAGGAATACTTTTTTCTTGGGGGGGGGGACACTTCAAAAAATAATAAAAAATGTACTATTCTTAAGAGTGTTTTTTTTTGTTGAAAAAATAATAATAAAACCTTTTAAATTATATAAATGATAATTTGATCTCTCAAAATGTTATAATCTCACTGAAATTTTTAAAAACTTTTATGTTAATAAATTTTAAAATAAAAAGATCATTTTACCTTTATTGAAAATAACAAGCTCAATTATAATTTTTATTTTTTTGAATTGCAAAAATTGAATAACAAATCATAACTTGTCAATTGTAATTTTTTTTTGTTAAAAAAGAAGAGTCAATTACAACTTTAGTTTTGTAAATCGTAAAAGTTAAACAAAAAATCACAACTTGTTAAGTGTAATTTTTATTATAAAAATATAATTTATTAAAATATCAAAAATTGAATCACAACTTTTGTTTAAAAATAACAACTTTTATTCAAAGAATTGTAAGAATTCAAAAAGAAATTACAACTCGTTAATAAGGATAAAAATTATATTTTCAATTTAAAATTTATTGACATAGAAGTTATTAGGGACTTGAATGAAATTATAGTATTTCTAAGGATTAAATGTCATTTGTATAATTTAAAGGGATTTCATTGTCATTTTTTCAGTTTTCTTTCTTATTATTTTTTTTTCCTTTCTAAATTTCTTTCCATCCAAATTAAAGGCAAGAGCAACCTGACATAGTTATTGTTAGTATAGTTTGATGGCCCAACCTATTATGAGAATTAGGAGCCTCTTGTGGGTGTCTTTTGCCTAAAGCATCCTTATGGGGCAAGGTCAGTAATTTTGGCACAACTCATGCGAGAATGCGGCCAAGTCAAATAATACCTGATATAGTGGATGCTTTTATTACATTGCCGTTCAAATTAGTCGTCCTCAGGTTTCAAGGGAATTTATACAGGATGCTGAAGAAACATATCATGCATTTCCTCTTCAAAATTCTCTTCCCTGGGAAAATATGTCCATAATGTGAGCTGGAAGGTTTGCAATATGAAACTTTCTTCCAACTCTTTAAGTTGCCGAACGCTGACAATGTTTCATTGCTGATATTCCATAGCTAGAATCTGTTAGAAAATCATATGATATAGTTTCATGAGTGGTTCGAATCTGCTATACGAAAGTCAAAATTATATGAACGAATCCTCAAATTGTACGAGGAAAAATAGTTCGTTTTGTTTTCATCTCAAACACACTTTTTCATGAACGACAGAAGCAGTGAATAGTCATGCTACCAATAGCAGAATCCCAAGTCTGATCAGCAGCTAAGCATTAAATTTATACAGATTGAAAAATTTCACATGATTTTCAAACTTCAAGTGGAGGGGAAGCACTCACTGACTCGGGTTATTTTCAATTCATCAAAAATCATTAAGATTAGACAATTAGGCTAAATACCTCTTCTGATTCAGAAAAATACATTTTAATATACCAATAATTAATAAACTATAACAGTTATGCGAACAGGACAGCAAATATGAGGAGTCTGAGAAGTGAGAAGTTACCAAAGCAAGCAATATACCCTTGAGCCTCGCAGAAGAGTCCATGATGTGGATGCAGTCTTGTAGACGCAAGTTTGGAGAAGCTTTTATCAAAATGTCCCTGTCGATAAATAGGTTTTCTAGTGTAGCATCTGTGAATCATGCAAAGTTTGTTGAACATGTGAAGTTTGCTAAGGAAATAGTCGAACCACTTAAGGCTACATTCACACAGTCTATTTATGTTATCACTGGAAGAAATCAACTTGGGTGTCAAGGCTATGAAAAAATAATAATAATAACAAGCATAATGAAGTTTCTTGTGGATGAAATGGATTTGTTTTTGGAAATTAAGTGAGCATTTTTTGGGAAAAAATTGTGGTCAGATTTCAGGAATATGTTTCTGAGTCATTGAACATGTATCAAAGTCAATCAGGACTCAGAACACATGCCAGGCCTCCAATTGTTGAAGTGCCCTGCATCAAATTGTCCCTTCAACGTTTTGTCTTGATGTCATAGTGGCTTCATTTGAACCTGCAATTTTTGGGATAATGCTTTCTGGCTTTTAAACCCATTTGAAGGTGAATACTTTCTTCATGTTAATATTTTTGTATCAGACACTTGTCCTTTTAGCTGAGATTCCATAGATACCTTCCTGTTGATGTACCATGTAGAAAGAGGAATGAAAATATTACCAAATAAGGTAACAAGAGGAAGGAAAACTTGAACACAATGGATTTATGTTACAAACAAACAGCAAATAATCTTAGCTCCCTAAACGAAGAAGTCTATTGGGGTTGAATGATACCATTGTTTTCTGTGAACAACCAACTCTTTGAATATATTGTTAACCAAAAGATTTCTTCCAACCAAAGAATGAAATTATGTTATTGAAATTTTGCTCGGTACGTTTTAGATAAAACAGGAATATTTCCTTTCATTATTGTATTTTCAGAGTAGAAATGTGATAAGACTAAAAAAAAAAATAGCAACTTAATAAATTAAAATATCATTAGACCCACGTTTTCACGTGACATATGAGATTAGTCAGACCATGTCATGACTTTCTATCATAAATTTAATTTAATATATTTGATCTATTGATTGCCCTCAAATAAGCCTCGAATAAACACAAGCAGGAGATACAGGAACCTAAATGAAGATACGCACATTATAGCACAGAATAAGCACGGTCACCTCCACCACAAGAGCTCGAGACATTGTTTCTGGTAAATCCTGATCAATTCGTTATATAGCTACCATTCATACACTCGCAAAACATTATATATTATATATAACATTCATATTTCATTTTTATATTTTTGTATTATTCTTCTTTATATCTCTGCAAATGCAAAATAGACATTCACGCTTTTATGAACCTAAATGGTTTGAATTGCTCAAAATTATTACTATACAGTGGAACTGACATAACGATAGCAGTGTTGGAAATCATACTGCAATTGATTTAGTGCATCATAACGACTCTGATGCTTGATTTTCTCTTTCTTTTTCTTCCAAATGTTCTCAGTAAGTATATTTTGGTGGGTAAATATGATACAATTTGGAAATGATAGATACAAGAAAAATTTTGATTTCTCAAATTTGTATCATTTGTCAGTTTTTGAAATCTAATCTTTATAAATCAAGACTCTTGAGTTTCAAAGCCATATACAATTAGTCATTTTGATTGGAAGGGAAAATAACATCATAAAAATTAATTGTATATGATTATAAAACTAGCAATTTAATTGATTGATCAAGATCAAATTTCAAAGAGAAAATCGATAACTAAAATTAACTTGAGGGATCAAAAGTTTCATTGTCCCAAAATGATAATATACATTCTAACGGTTTGCATACAATGACGAAGCTATTACGATGATTGACGTCCAAAGAAATCAGCGCCATCCTCGACATCATCTGTTCTAATGCTTCCCCTTTGAGCCATTAAAATCCTGTAAACCCTCTTTGAACAAACCTCACCAAGCCTTCTGTCACCACCAGTTAAACCTTCTGTTTTCAAATCCTTGAGCAGAAATTCCTTTTCATGTTCCTGCCAAGCCCATTGATTAAAAATACACACTTATTTGATACGCAAAATCTATCATGATAGAAAGGTCAAGTAATGATGGCCAAGACAATCAGGAAGATCAAATCATCAAAGGGGAACAAAGGCGGTAACGGATACCGATTTATTTGGGTCCATATAGACAGTCAACAGAGACTTCATGGTTGGGTATTTCTTCCAAATAGCAATAGCAAATCGTGGCTGAACCTTGGGGATGGCAACCAAAGATTTTAACCTGGTCATAGACAAACCCAATATGAGGAAGACAAATATGATAAAGTAGAATGGAACAAGATCTTGTACACTGATGTCCTATCTGACCTCTTCACGAGTAAAGTATCATCTATTTTTGCCGTGTTAAAATTAACTTATATCATCACGCCACAAATTCAACAGATTATTAATCTGAATATATGATTCTCATTGGAAATCAAAGTCTGAAATTAGATACCTTACTGCCTGTTATTTATAGGTATTATTCTCCAATGAATATATATCCTAATCTATCTAAATCCTACTAATATAATAATAATAATAATAATAATAATAATAATAATAATTAAATATCAAATCCTATCTGCATACTGTTTAAATCATAAATCATATTTACATCTATTTAAATCCTAATTAATTCTTAATTATTTTCTTATTTATTATAATTACATAACAGTATGCAAACTAAGAGCAAAAGCTGTCTAAGATCATGTTCAATTTTCAACGTGACAATAGGAAAATGAACAAGAAACAAGAAAAAGAAAAAAGTAACCAGGGAATATTTCACACTTACCACACATTTTTCTTGATTAAATTGCGGTCAAAAGTGTCCTTTGGGATAAGAGATCCATTTGCATTTACAGACAATCGCGTTAACTTCTTTCTGCAGTTTAAATGCATGAATAGCTGTAGATTCAAATGAAATAAACTATAAAGGGAACAGCTGATATGAAACATATTCATAGTGTTAAAACCATGCATGATATGTTTCATTTGATTTGACACAAAAGCTTAGTACGAGTCTTCAATAATCTTGTAAATCCTGTTGGGCAGGTAATTGTATAGCTATGTACAACAGTTAAAACAAAAGGTAGATAGAGTAAACTGGTTTAAAGGTGGTTAATAAAGAGCAATTCAGTGCCAAAATTTCAAAATTACAGTACAAGTGAACTGTGACTTTTCCTTTTAAAGTTATGCATTCCTTAAATACAAAGGAAATGTCCGTACAATTTCAGCAAAACTTTTAAGAAGTATCTATGTAATTTGATCTTTAATTATTAATTAAATATACTCTATAAGTAGTATATAATTCCTACGGATATCTTTCTTATAATCATTTTCTAACAAATAAAAAGAGCTTTGCTTCGTTCAATAATTCTATAAGTGGTAAGTAATCGCTTGATAGTCACTCTCAACTGATTAACCACAAAGCATAATTTACTTTACAGTTAAGGGGAAAAAAAAAAAAACCAATTGCTTCAATAATCATTGAAAGAGAAGAATAAGATGTACATGCCTTTTTATTCCCCCCCCCCACCCGGGGTTAATAATCCTATGGATTAATTTTGTACGAAACAGAGATGCTCTTATGCATGCTATCTTCTAGTTTTGCATAAAGTGTATATTCTTGCAAGCATTAACATAGTCCAAATTAAATTTCAAAAATAAAAGCTTCAAGTACCTAAATTGGCAAGATGCCAGGCTGCATGTCAATCCAACAACATGTTCAGCCAGTTCAGCTTCATCTACACACTGCCTAGAATGTACTTTAGTGAAATGAGTCGTTAACTTTGCCAGCGCCTACAACACAATTCACAATACAAATTAAAGCCGTTTTTCGAGAGAGACTAAAAGATTATAAAGAGACACATTCCAGATAACGTTAAATATGTAAGTTATTTAACCTCTTCAACAGGTGGACGCTTCCAACAACTATTATGTTCTGGGTTCTTGTATTTTTCCTGTTCCCTAATATATCAAAGTCACTGTGTTGACTGAAAAAAAATTAATGCAAAAAATAAAAAAGAAAAACTGACAACTGATATACTACCCATAAATCAGTAGGATTGCCAGATGCTGTTAACACAAGATAAACCAATTTTGAATTGCTAGGGAAGTCTAAAGATATTACCTACCTTTTATTAATGTAAGCCATCAGCCTGTTGGTGAGGTAACAAGCTGTATAAGTTGGATAAAGACTTTGAACGCTAGAAAGATGATCGAAAAGACATTCATTGGTGATTAGGTCGCAAAATTTGTCTGCCTCATGAACAAGTAAGACATACGGAATCTTTACTCTATCAGTCGAAAGCTGCAATTAATAAATGACAATAACCGTAAATAGAAAATACTTGCAGAAATTGATCAAGATCAAGTCAAATAAAGACTTCTGTCCAAAAAAAGGTCAGATAAATATTTTATGTGTAGATGCCCACTGCACACCAATGAACCACAAGCATTTCTCACCTGTAAAATGTGTTCTGGAACTTTCATAGACCACAAAATTGACCTCTCAATTGGATTTGAAGTTATATGATATGTAAGCCCTTTCTCAGCAAACCTAGTAAGTAAATGCCCTGAAGAGAATAGGAATGTCTTCTAAGAAAACAACCATAAGAAAGAAACCAAGTAAAAGACTAGCACTTGCTTTTCAATAAAGACAGAGTATGGACACTCCAGAAAGAGGTGTCCTAGTGCTTTTGAAGCGCTGTGTTGTTTATATTAGGTTGTTCAACATATATTAGACACAGACATGACTTCTTTATGAATAATTCATGCTTTGTCAAAATGACAAAGGACATACCCCCAATTGAACCTGATTCAACTACTTTCGCATCAATTTCAGCCACAACGGATTTTAGTGCAAACTTTCCCTTTTCCCATTTTTGCTTTTCTTTCTCGTTTTTCTTCAACTCCGCTGCTTCAGCCTTTAGAGCTGCTTTTCTCAACTTCTCTTCCTGTACAACAAATATCCCTGAACTATTGAGTTGAATGACATGGACACTAACCAATACTATAAGTTTAAACATACCTCTTTCTTTAGTTTCTTCTCCTCCATTAGACGAGCTCTTTCTTCTTTTGTTATCTTTGTTCTCCCCATTGGCTTACTTGTGTTCTTTTCAGAAACTTGGGATCTTTTCACTTTTTCAATATTCTCTTCCTGCTCCATGTCCACGCTAATATTTTCCTTACCAGGATAGTCATGCACCTGATAACACATTATGAGATAATCCCCTATGCATAAGATAAGGTTGAACACATAACACTTACAAAACTTTAGGCAAGCCCCCGTTTCATGTTAATAACAGAAACAGAATATGCATAAAGAGAAGATTATAGACAGAGTCCTCAACTCTAAATAACAAAAACAGATGAAAACAAAAAATAGACAACCAGACAATGGAAATAACTTGGGATGGATAATACTTTTATGGAATAAGTAAATCAGATCACGAGGGAAATAATGATTCAAGCCAAACCCATATCCCACATACACCCTGATACAGAAATTACAATCACATCACAATGACAGAAATTGATAAGATTCCAGATAGATTTCCTATAAAGACTTATTCAAGAAGGAAGCATCAAAAGATAAATTAGAATTGATTTACATTAGGAATGATTTTATCATTTTATTTTAAGAGATATTTTATTTAGATATTTAAATTAGTTTTTTTTTTAAGATAGATATTTCTTTAGATTTTATTTTATTTAGATTTGATTCAGTATTTTGTCTAGATTTAGGCGATAGGGGATTTAATTTGATTATCCAGTTAGTTAGATTTATTATTTTAAATTGTATTTGGTTCTATAAATATGACTAGTAACTTAGAAGCTAGCATATTATTTCCATCAATACAATAGTCTTTTAAACCATTTGGAGATTTTTCTAAAGTGTGACTGTTGAGATAATTATAGAACAAGATTCTTGTTTTATATTATCTTAACAGATTTGTTCTTATTATTTCCTTGATTATTCGAGCACCTATCAGAAATACAAGAGACAGAACAAAATACACGCACACAAGGCAATGGTTATGGCTTTCAAGAGGCTCGATCACCCCCCAATCCTCACTATACTTTCAAAAGACTGAGCTTAACTCTCTCCAGATGAAAGGGAAGATTTAAAAACCCAAAAGTTATAAAAGAACGAATATATACAGATATACCCCCCAATCCCTACTCATATATCACCTCATTTACCTTACGGCCAGGAACCTCAGGATCATTCTCTTATCCGTTAGTTACTCTTTCCTACACCATTTCCCTTCCCATAAATTCTGCCATAGGTCCTAGGAAATGATTTGTAAATCTGCTCTGAATCTTCATCTCTATCATTATATGATTTATATAAATACAGATAAAGAAGAAAGAAAAAAAGAAAAACTACGATGGAGAGAGAAAAAAAAATTACCAGATCACTATCCATTAATGAAGATGTTGGATTAAGAGGGTTGTCCCCAGCCATTTCAGTTGATGTAGCATGGACAGATGATAGATACATCTCTGCAATTTTTCAATTACATAAACAAATAAACAAACCATTTCATATGATAAGAAGAAGGTCAACTAGTCCAGAACCAAAAGCATATACCAGGAAAACTTCTGGAACCAATAAACTCTGAAGTCCATCTTGAATCTCCAGAAAAATCCAGACATGAATCCCTGGTTTCAATCCCAGTCCCATTGTCCATTCCAGAATTTTCCAACTCATTGTCAGATTCCAAACATATCATCTTGCTAATTCCTGGATAATAAACAGTTAACAAACATGCTATCAAATAGATGTTCTCGAGGAGATGACTAGATGACTAAACTCAGTCAGAATTAATTTGTATTCATAAAAAAACAGAGATAAAAATCAAACTAAACTGAAAAGAAACAATATTCTCACCATAGCAGATTCCACCATAGAACCGAGACCAAACGGAAGCCAGAACGTACTTAATCGTATCTAATTATCGAAGCCCGATATTTAAGACTTTAAGTTTACAGCAAGTAACTGAGAACGAGCACAAATTCTTAACATGCTGATAATTTGCGTAAACATAGAGCCCGGGGGGGACAGCATCGAAAGGAAATACGAAAAGTGCATTGCATACTCTTTCTAAAAGGCAAAGCATAAAAAACCAAGTTCAATGTCCCTTCGAAGTGAACTAAATTAAAATACTCCTCCAACAACTCAGATTACCATATGTTACTTCCAACAAGAAACGCAAGTAAACCAAATTCAGCAAACAGAAATCACATTCAAAGCATTACTGCAGTTGGAAAAGCACTCTGCAAGTTTGCATCCGCTTCATTAACACAGAAAGAGGCAGAATTACACAAAATATCCAAAATACGCAAAACAGAGACATATAGGTACTCAACATCATATTATTACCACACAAAAAAAGGCAAAAAAAAAAAATGAAAGGAAATTAACTGACCCGTGATGTCAGGTTCGGAAGTTGAGGCCCTAGTGTGGGGATCAAAATCAGATGAAGCTCTTGTGCATTTGACAATTAAGACGTCGGAATTGGACGGCGCAGACATAGGAGTCTCAGCAACGAAAGAAGGTGTGGACGAAGAACCAGGCTTCTGGGGGGTCGGATCATCGTCCAGGACGAGAATGGTCCGGTTTGGATCGGGATCGGTTCGGCGTTTCTTGAAAAGGCTTGTGAAAGGCGTTGCGACGTCGTAGTGGTCTTCTTCGTCGGACAGAATGATCGGCTCAGACATTCTGTTGCTACCGAACATGCAGTGTAGGGCACCGTTATTCCTCCCAGAAATGGTGAGGTGCACCTTCGAATTATGCGCGGGATCGTCGACGGCAAGGCTTGTTTGAATACCGACATAAGATGTCCAGATTGAGAGTTAGCTGCACTTGAATTGAATCAGGGATTTTCAGTTTCACCCAAAAAAAAAAAAAAATCAGGGATTCAGCGGGAGCACACCTTCGGTTCTCTCTCTGTTCTTTTAATTTTTTTTGGGTTTAGTGTTTTTAAAGGCCCACATGGCCCGTAAAATTTCAAGGCCCAGACTACTGCTGGTTGAAGAACCTGGGGGTGAAATTTGAATTTTTTTTAAATAGAATAACCATTAAAGTTTAAAGGATTAATTAATGAAAATTGGATCTTAGATAGAATTTTTTAAAAAATAATTTAAAAATATCATTTAAATAATAAATTCTAAAATTTCAAATACAAATGGTGCATTTAAGTTTCAAATACAACTTTTGTATCGTAACATAAATTTTTATTTATAATTATTTGAAGTGATATATATCACTCTTATTTTTAGAGTTAACAATTAATGAATAATAAATAATATAATTCATGTTATCTCAGTTTTCATACAAAGCATAAGTCAGTAATCTAATTGGATGAATATTTTGTTGATTTCTGTTACACCTAGGCCACTATTTTTTTCAAATATGATCTGCCTTAAATTTTAGATTTGATATTGAACTATATGAGGAAATGCATTAAATATTAAATATTATACATGAAGCATGAAGGGGGAAGCTTGGGACAACCTGTAAAGATTAGGGATGGCATTCACAACATCTAAGCAAAGCATTAAGCCGATTAAGTTTTAATTAGATCATAGAAGTATGTTTGATTAATTCATTCAGTTCTATCTTCTTAAATAGACAGCTTGAAAGAAAGTATTCAAATTTTAATACACATGTGAAACATTGTACAAACATATATGAGAAAACACAATTATTAATCTTTATAGTTTTATGAAGTTTTACTTTTAGTCATTGTAGTTTTATTTTATTTTTTCAGTCTCTATATTTTTAAAAAGATTGGGTGATTTTTTTTTTAGATAAGGCTAAAAACACTTAAAAAACTATAAGAATTAAAAATAAAATTTAATAAAACTATAAAGATGAATGATTATATTTTTTTAATATATATACAAGCAGGGACCTCCAAAAGAGGTACATACAATGATATTTGATATGCTTTCCACTTGAGAAAGGATGCTGAAATGAGGTTGCTGTCATGTTGTGGAAATTTATTAAAAAAAATAAAAGGCCCAATTTTAAACCCATAACACAGACCCAAAAAAATCCATTCAGTTTTAAAATCGTAAATTGAACCATTTGCTGGGCCTGAAATTAATGGGCTCCACATGAGTCTCAGGCTCTCTGCCAAACACCCTGAGGGGTGAATAATTCCCGTGCTCCAACGGCATCGTTTCCTGCGCACTGTGCTTTGATGCATCCAGCTTGTGAGCGCTACAGCCAACAACACCGTGGTGAATTTTTGTTGACATTAACAAATCACGCCAAAACCATATGGCCGTTTAATTTAATTTTTAAAAAGGATTCAAAAGAGAAAATGTCAGTTGAGTTATATACGTTGGCTCAAATAATGTTATATAGGTCGAACTGGGTTGCGAAAAACTTGACCCAAACAAAGGCCTTTTTTTTTTTTATTAATCAGACCATTTAGGTATTGAATCAAATGAATTAACCCATATGAGTTAGAATTTGCCCACTTAACTCACATTAACAAAAAAAAAAAAAAATAGGTTATGAGTGGAAAGGTAGAAATGATCAATTTCCTAGCAACGCTCAATCAGAAATAAAAGAAACAGCACATAGTTGAAAAATAAAAAGTAAAAAAAGAACTCTACCCTGATTCTTAAGTTGCATCTTCCTCTCCTTCCTCTATTATTCAATTATTTGTGCTCTTAGCGTCCCCGGGCCTGAGCTTTAGGTCATTTTCGACTTGTGAATTTTGATAAGTATGTGTGACAACTCATTTATTTTGAGATCATGGTTGATGGATCATAAATTATGATGAATCATTATATTTTCACTATGATATATTTTATTTTTATCTTGGGTGAAGGGACAAAAATACCAACAAAGTGATTAACCAGAGGCACCAAGTATCCTAAAAGAAGGAAAAAGGGTATAAATATCCATTATATTATATAAATGGGTTTAAAAGTGATCAAACCATTAATTTTGTCTTAACGCCATTAGTTTTGACTGTTAAATGTTGGTTGTCCATGCCACATGTTAGTTTTTACTGACATGGATTAAAAAGGGACAAAAATATCTACAAATCTGTAAAACAAGAACAAAAATGCTGATAACGTTATTAGAATTAGTGCAAAAGTAACCAATCTATCAAATTTCTTAAATATTAATTGTTTAAATAACGCCTAAGTAGAAGTTGACCATTTTTCGCTGACATGGACAAAAAAATTCTTAGATGAAATTCTTTGGAGATTAATCAGTCATCGTATGAATATCATGTAAAAAAATTATTTTGTCAAAATATCAAATTAAATTGCTCGTTTCTTTACAATAGTGACGAAAACCTTTAAAAATTTTGAACTTATCGTGAATAAAATTGCTTAAAGTTGTGACAATATTCTTAAGATAAGGCGGCATAAGAGGTGTGCTCAATCTCAATTTTTGATTGTGCACAACCTGTCTCACTATATTGAATCTCAGGTTTTGTAGACAAGAAAAATAAGTAGAGAGGGAGGGAAGAAGGGGATAGGATATGTGGCTATGGAAAAAAAAAATCATGTGGCATAAGTTTTGATGGATTGGTCACTATTGCACCTGTTAAAGTAACATTATGGGTAATCATCAAAAGATGATTGATCAATCTCTGTAAAAATTCATCTAGAAATATCTTTTATCTACATCAGCGAAAAAAATAGTCAACTTCTATTTATGTGTCAGCTAAACAATCAACACTTAAAGGATTTAATAGATTGGTAAGTTTTACACTGATTCTAGTAATATTATGAGTATTTTTATTTCATACCGACGACTTCATGAGTATTTTTGCACCTTTTTTGTCCATATCAACAAAAACTAACACGTGACATGCACAGTCAAATTTAATGATAAAAACTAACGGCATTAAGGCAAAGTTAATAATTTGGTTACTTTTGCACTCACTTATATAACAATATAGGTATTTACACCATTTTTCTCACTTTAAAATATTGAGTGCCCCTGGTTGACCACTTTGTAAGTATTTTTGCCTATTTATTCTTCTATTTTTTAATATATTCCCTCTGGATCAAATATAGGACAAACTAATTCACGATTCTAAAAAAATGCTAATTAAAACCTTAATTTCTTTTTTTAAAAATACATCTTTTTAATTTTATCATCATTAAATACCCATATGAGTGTTTTAATAATGATAATTAAAATTTTAATGCATCATTTTTTAAAAAAGTAATAATTAAAGTAGGGGTATAGTTGAAAAAATAATCATAAAAGTTATCTAATATCTTATATTTTGGACCAAACAAGGCTTGTAGAAGATGTTATATATTGTGATTCGGAGAGGATAGTTAATTATTATGATGTGATTTTTTTTTTGGTCTAGAATGTGAATTTTAAGTTGCATATAATATAGACATATATTATTTAGATATAAAATTTATTGTTTCTTTTTAAGTTAAATGAATTGGTGAGTTGATCTATTTAATACACTAACTCACATGATTTGGGTTAGGTTAGGTTTTTCCTAATTCATACGAATATGAATTGAACCTAATCCAAACCAATTTTTCTCCAACTCATGTAATTTAGGTTAACCCACATTTTCACCTATAGAAAAGGATATGAGAATGAAATGTATTAAAAAAAATAAAAAAAATGAACTTTTCATTTGAGCATGATAAGTTTGTTTTTTGGCTTAAATCAGCATGATAAGTTGATTATAAATCTCATTGAATCATGAGGTTCAATTTGATGAACTCAATTATTCCTTTCCAATATAGTTAACATAATAACTTGGTTGAACTAAAATTACTCAGACCCCATTTCAAATCAACGATATTACAAGATAGATTAAATACAACACTCCATATGCTTAATTGATAGTGTCGTCAGGTGATGATTATTTAATTAAGATACTTTAACATTTGATTTTGTAGCTTGAAAAACTAACAATAAATTTAAAAGCCTTTCATTTAAATAAAAATAAAATTGAAAGTTTATTTTTTTAACAACGTTAATGACTTAGCTATTTGTTTTATTTCAATAAAATTATTAGAAATGTCTTATAATATAAATAGGGAATCATACTTAGGATAGGACTGGAGGGAGTAACATTCTGATTCTAATTAATGCCATCAACCGTGCTGGGATATCAAGAATGGTTGCCAAAAGAAATTACTCTTGAATTAATCAGTTTAGAATTTCAATACGTGAAACAGAATTTTCTAATTTTTTTTTTTAAATTCTTATAACAAACCATCTTATATGTGGTGCTATAAGCTAGAATTTGAATCAGTTCGAGCCCTTTGATCAAAAAAATCAGTTCGAGTCCGAATTGAATTAAATTTCTTTTTAAATGACTATTTTTCATTGGCAGAACACAGATTTCAGACCATATATTCATGTTCATTCAATTCACCATTAAGTATTAATTAGTTTTTAAACAGTCACCTCAATTTTAGATTTGCTTACAAGCGAGGGGATCAATCTCTCTCTCTCTCAAAAAAGTTTAGTTGAGTTAGATTTAAAGAACTTACAGAATTAATGCATGTCTTCAAACTCAAAAAATATTTATAAAAATATTTATAGATTACTTATTAATACAGTCCACACATTGATAGTAAAATTTTAACTTATAACATTAAAGGTTATGGACCAAATTTTTACTTTTCATTTATAACAATTCATTAATTTGAGTTGAAGAGTTCTAATTGAAGAAGGATATTTTAACGTGTTTGACGTTACTGCAATTTATTTTTGTTTACCAAACTTGAACTCAAAATTTCAGTCAAGAGCCAATGATCCTGCATGTGATCACTTAATGGTAACTATTTAGCTCACTATCGCATATGGGAGGTCGCAAATTCTCCACTAGCTTTTTTTTTTTTAAATTTTTTTATAAAAGAACAAATAATTTCAAATACAT